CCAGTAAAAGTAGACTGGCCACAGAAATCTGTCCAATATCTATTTTCAGGTTCTCACCTCTGTACCCAACACTACCCCATTCCAATCTCCAAGCCCTTGTACAAAGTCCCACAGCCTTCAAGGCTCATGGAATGCAACCTTTTTAATGAGGCTTTTCCTGGCAGCTCCACACGAGGCTGTTTACATCTATCTGCCTCCCACTAGCCTCCTCACACTAGACCAAGCACAGTCACATACACTTTTGATTTTTAAAGCATTTCTCCTATAGTATTTTATTCTCCTATAGTGTAGTATTTTGTTCCCTGATTCCAGGTCACACATATTTTCTCATGTTAAAACATGCATATCTAAAATTAGAAAACATCTTATAAATTATGATGGCTTACACTTATAATTAAACTGGAAGCATTTTTTTCCTTTCTTACTGAAACATAAAATAATGGTATATTACTCAGTGACGTCTTAGGTAAGATGCAAAAACGTAATCTGATTCCTCAAAAATAAGCAACTTGAGTTCACTTTTTTATTAGTCACAATACCTCCTACATACAAAAACTCTCTCAGGTGTTGATCGAACGCAAGCTCTATCAAGAAATGCCCCATCTGCATTACTTATACCATAAACTGACTATTATAAGAAAGCTACAGAGGAGAAATTAAACCTTCTTCTCAATTCTACCATTTTCCAAGATAAATGTAGCTTTGCTTTTAACAAAGAAAAAATTTAAATTATCTTCATGTATCATCTCCTAATCTGTAAAATGGTTTGTTCCAAAGATTAAATGAGTAAAATATAAGTGCTAGAACAATAACTGGAAAACAATAAGCACTCAATATAGGTTAGTTATCACAACCAGTGCCCACAGGAAGATTCTAAGAAAAGGATCCAGCTTCCCTTACATCTTAGTCAAGACCCTTTAACTGGACAGAGAAGCTTGCTGGATATCAGATGACGTTTATAAGGAGCAAATGAAATTCAAATACAGCTGATAATTCCCCTCTCTTACCGTGTAATTATTTGTACTTGTTATTTGTGTAGCATGTTATTATTTAAATGTCCCTAATTTCAGCCTCAGCGGGCCAAGGGCCCTCAAAGAGTGGCCGTGGCCTAAGCCTTTGCCAGCCCTTTCCTGAGCTTTTGAATTTCAATTTATTACAGCCAGAAAAGGTGGCATTATCTACAGCAGGAAGGAGACAGACGGCTCACAATCAGCAAAAGTCCTCGCACTGCCTCCTAAGCCTGGCTATAACCAACATGCTGTAATGACGGTTTCAGTTCCTACAGAGAATCCACAAGACCGTTCAAAATTCACATTCATTACCTCCAGAAGGACAAAAATATTCATTCTTGTCACTGTAGAACCACAAAAGCAAGACTGATGGCCAACGTGGATTTTATGACATAAAATATGAGCTACTATCTAATATCTGCTTATGTTATTACCACTACACTATACCTGCTCAGCCGCTCCGATACAAGCTGCTGCTGTTTGTAGTACAGTTAAGACACCAAACCTGTGAACCCCCTCACACAAGAAGGAAATGCAAAGGGCCGCAAGTTCAACATCCTAGCATGCCAACGATTTATCGGAAGGGATGTCAATTCAAATCAGATACAAAATTATGTCAAGCCCATTCCATTGTTAATGCAAAAAATATTATTTTAAAACTGGATTTTCTCAGGAAACTCTGGCAGGACCAATAACCCAGAAACATCTCTGTTGAGAAATTGACATGGGGGCGGGAGGGGGGCGTGGGAGGCACGGAGATAAATCACCTTGTTCTCGATACTACTGTTGCAAAGATAGGGTGTGATTTTCATCCAGTATGTGTTCCAAAATAAGCATGGGATTCAAAGTTACGCAATTTGAACTGTAATTCCAATTCTACTTCTGTATAATAAATAGCTAAATGAGAGTGAGGCAAGTTACTACCATATAACACAAAGCCCCACGAGGACGTTTAATCGGCTTACAGATGAAAACTCCTGGAGTCTCAAGAGGTATGTCACTCACTGTCCAAGGTCCCCAAGTGACAAAGCGTGAAGGGGTGGAAGGGGAACACAAGGGCAGAAGTCTCTCACCCAAACTATCTAGGGAACAGGCACATGCTCTCAACCATGTCATAGTGCAGTCTCATAGTCCTCGTCTCAGTGAGGGCTCTGTATTGGACAGTCTCAAAACTCTACCATCAGACTAATTTCTGTCACAATTAAAACTGAACCAATGGAATTATTTCAGCTTTTGAAAAGGAACCTCAAGGGGTTCGGGGACTAACAATAACAAAAAGTAAATAAACAAAAGAAAAACAAGAACCTTGCATGACTGTTAAAACTGTTCTCCCTCCACTAACTTATCTTCACTTGCCATGCAGTGAAGAAGTTCAATATTGTACGCTGTGATGTGCAGTTTAAGACAAGGTCACTCTATTGTACAGGAATGATGATCCGTCCAAACTCAAGTGATAAACATATAAGCACACATGTACAAACATTCAGAGAGAACACTGATTGCAATCATCCCTACTCCCAACCTCACTCAGCCCAGAAAGTCCTGGATGCTCCCTGCTATTTCAGTTCTCTCTGGATATCACCTACCCACCCACCCCGCCCAAAAAGATCACTCCTGAGATTCTGGGACCGACAGAGAAGTTATTCCCATGGTAGAGATTCTGTTTTCTCATGCTTTCCAGTAACCCCTCAACAGGAAAGCACCTTTAACACGTCAGCTGCTTTTAAGAAAATTCTTCTTAAAACACACTTAACTTCTGAAACAAGGAGATGTGTTTATTTAGAACTGCTACTGAAATTCAATATACAGAGTAACAAAAATGTGGCCTTGGAATGCTGTGTGCACAAACATCAACAGGAACCAAAAAAGGGTATATTCACAGATATTTCACAACCAAAAGAAAGAAGCCTTGGGGGTCTCAGTGCCTTAAAAAAAAAAAAAAAAAGACAAGTCAGTCTACCAGGGTGAAAGGCAAAATAACACAACAAAACTTACCTTTTCTTTATGAAGCTATGCTAATAAAAATGAAGGCTACATTTAGCCAAACTAGCTGGCAATGCCGGTTGCTTCTCAAATGACTTTCGTTTTTGTTCTTTTGCCCAAATTCCACCTTGATTCAATCCTAGACACCTGGTTCACTTCCTGTCCTAAGAGCTGATTTTTCCCAGCTAGGTTGTTTTTAATTGTTAAGAGATTCCAAAAGCAATAAGGCATTACCACTCATGAATAGCAGAAAGAGCATTCCTTATCTCATCAATAAGATCTAAACCCACAGCAGGCACTACTCTCTTCTAACTCCAGAATGCAATGCAATTCTTCCCTTTACTCATCTCCCAAAAATTTAACCAAGCAAAATACTGCTCCTCAACTTACAATGGGGTTACGTCCTGATTATCATCTTACGATGGGTTTAAGTGGAAAATGCATTTAATACACCTATCCTACCGAACATCACAGCTTAGCATAGCCTATCTTAAACGTGCTCAGAACACTTTTGGCTACAGTTTGGCATAATCTTCTAACAAAATCTATTTTATAATAAAGTGTTACATATCTCACATATTATGAGCATTGTTTTCACACCACAATTAAGTCAAAAATCGTAACTCGATCCATCTGAAGTCGGGGACCATCTCTATTCAATCTGAAGTAATGACAACGAAATCTATAACATCAAGTGTTCTCTAAATAGACACGGGGCATAGAACATACTGCATTACAGGCAGTCAAGGAATGGACGTAACCCCTACCTGTCAGAGACCCATGAGCATTTGGGATCCAAATTGTATACCTGTGGCAATAGATCCACTTACTACTTATTTTGCTCCTGCAAATGTGAAAGAAGTTCCAAAAGGGCCTTTTCCATTCCATATTGGCTCAGAATTCAGTGGGTTCTTGTTTCAAACCACACAATACTAGAAGAGAGTGACAAACCTTGGGTGGATGGCAAGGAAGTCATCTCACAAAACCCAGCCATGGCCCTGTGGAAACAGAGCAGCAACAGGTCCTGCCTGTAAGCACTAGTACCAACAACAGGCTCCCAGATAACTCAACCGACACCTAAGCAGACTGGAAAGAAACTGGAAGCCCTAAACCGAGTGAACCTGCCACTCTGGACCCCAGGAAGCTGTCAAGCACCCCATATGTGATGACTGTTACCCCAGAACCAGAGCAAAGATTCTAAGAAACAACAGGATTTCCTCTTCCTCATCTCCTTGCTCCAAGCAAGCACAAACCAGAACATAGTCAATTCATTCACGTTTATCTATAATCCTAAGAGATATAGTAAGTACGAGAGAGACTGTGGAATGCTACCACAGCCACAGACAATAACCAAATATTTGTTCTGAAATGGTTTTCATTGGATGATGTCATCTGAATTATACCCCATTAAAACAAGACATCAGAATAAACTCAGGGGAAAGTTTCCTCGCAGGATCCTTCAAGGATCCTTTAGATAACAATACAGGAAGAGGTACACTCCTGGATGCACAGGAATTCCATGCCACTATGTACCTGCTGCAGCCTGCCCAACCTGATCAACAAGGAAGGAAGCAGGTATTTAGGAGGATGATGAGCTGGGGGGCAGGGGGAGTAAGCACACAACAGATTTAGGCTACTTCCTATACAAACAGAGGATAAGAACCAAAGGCTCCACATTGCACCAAGATCATCAAAAGCCTTCTGCTTTCATACTTGGGTGTGAACTAAAATATCCACAGAAAAAACCTATAAGACAGGTTCCACATTCAACCCAGGAGCTAGTAAGAAATCAGACTGCAGCCCTGGTCCTGTCTATAGGGAACGAACGAACTAAGGCACCTTGCCAATTATATTGTGCAACATATAAAGGAACATAAAAATAATCTATAAACCCAAGAGGATATAACTGCCAGTAAGGGCATAGCTTAAGAAGCACAAGTTGCAAAAATCACATCCAATTCAGAAACAAGGCCATGTCCAGAGATTCCAACAAAATATTCAACTCACCATTCACCGTTTTCAGGCTCCCAGTAATGCCTTCACCATGCTGCCTCTTCTGAGCATTCTTGAACTCCTTCAGAGACAAATAAAGGACTTTACGTACCACCCTTTCTTCTGACCATGGAATCCCATCACTGTCATCCTGGGGAAAAAGAAGAAATGAAAGAAGAGGGAGTTAATGAAAACAAAGCAAGCAAAGATTAAGAGTCAGCATAAACTTTTAAAAATTCCCAACAGTATTGTGTGACCAAGACACAGTTCTGGAAATCAGCAGTATCACATTATAATATAAAGGGACAGCACCGACCCTTCCCACATCTGGAGAGACCTCAACCAAAAACGCTAACCCACCCATAGGCTGTTCAAGGGACTGAAAGACAGACAAAACCACCTCCCTTCCTTTATATACCCACACCCAAAGACCTTCAATAATGGGTAATACTGAAGTTTTCTATTCCTGGCAAAGCTCACGAAAAAGTTATCACGCTCAAAACCAGAGGAGTAATGAACCATTGTGCTAGAGTTTCATAAAGTGAGTAATGCCAGAATGTATATTGTCTTACAAATTAGGTGCTGCACTTTGGGGGAAATTTTTGTCGTTGGGGGTTGGTGCTACCTTCAAGGGAATTTACAATTCAGTCAGAGAAATGAAATTGGATACACAATAGCCTCTCAGGGAAATGAGTCACAAATGAAAGAGAAGAGAGAGACCACTTGCGGAAAAGGGCAATAGATCTTGAGGGTGGAGGTGGGGGTTTAAAAAAAAATAACAAGAAATACATGCAGGTTAATAACAGGTCTTGAAGATCTAATTTAAAAGTGTGGCTCCTTCATGTCTGTTGTATCAGATCCAAGGCAAGTTCTTGAGAAAGGAATGAACAAACAAAAGGAAGGAGGCCAGGGTGGGAAGGAAGGAAGGGAGGAACCAAAGAACCAGCCTCCAGCCCAGAGACCATTCTAGTAGTAAAGATATAAAGAAAGATTAGAATTGAAGAAGCAGTAATGGGGGACAAGAAGGGGAGACGCACCAGCAAGCACCTGAGACAGAACAAGAGCCATGTCTAGATGAAGATGGTTGAAGATGGAAGACATACATACCAGGACTGACTGAGGTAACTGTTTTAGGGAACCAACAAGAAGGTTTTTAAGGTTTAATGGGTGGATTCATAAGAAGAATATTCACAGGTTCTCCTGTGGATATCTATGCACTGTTTGCTAATTTAAGTAGTCCTCACATTCACACACCTTCTTCAAGACAAGCATTTTATAACAGTTCAATTTAGACCTGGAAGTATCTGAGCTTCTCAGATATTTTGGATCTTAAAAGAATAAGGAAAACATTAATACCCTGGGTAAAACAGGATTTTGGATATTCATGTTCCTTTTGTTCAAAGAGGAACATGGATACTTCCAAGTCAGACTGGTACTGTTGTAATGGCTGTCCAACAGATTGGTATTTACTCTCTGCCGCTAACGGTGACATAAAACCTCCACAGGACTCAAGAAGGGGACTAGGTTATCTGAGGTCTCTCCAGCTCTTTGAAATTCCTAAACTCTACACAAACACAAACTACATCTTAGAAATCCAACCACACAGAAACTCTAAGCCCTAAATAACTTAAGCTGTACTCTTGTTAAGCTTCTAGGATTTCCTAGAATGAGAGTAATTCTCCATCTTCTATAATAAGGGGGAAAGAAATCCTGGGAAAGAAGAGCTAGGATTTCCACCTTTTCCTCCACACCCTTCACTCCTATAGACCTGCCAAGCTGAGATTTCCATTACCTCTAGAGGAAGAAGGCACATCCTGTCTTCCTGGTCACTCTCCTGAGAGCCAATTTATTATCTACAGACTAGGGTGGTGATCAAGGTTCACACATAAAGGCTAAAAAAAGCCAGCAAACTTTGCATCAACCTGAGAGAAGGCACACACACAATTTAACTGCTACTTGGTATAAGTCACTAGAAACCTTCCAATCACACGGTTAAAAACCAGAAAAATGAAGCACTGTTACCAGATTCATTTGAGCAGCCCAAATAACCAACCTGAGTAAAAAGGTAGATGATTTAACTATGCAACACATACAAACTACACTGTAGTTGAATTCACTCATACAGCAGCAACTGCCTTGAGTTTGCATGAAAGCTTCCCTAGCATATTCATTGCAAATGAATGATAGTCTTAACTGCAGGAAGAGTTAATACTAATTAAGCTGAAATCTACCTTTTTAAATTCCACAGTCTATGCAAAAAAGGCTATCCAGCAAAATTCCCTTCATCACAATGTGGTTTCTAGTCTCATCATTTGCACCTCTACGACAAGCAGTGATATGATTATAAACTATTATTTCCTACATATACAGAGTTTATAAATTATAAAGCCCCAAAATAGCTTTCAACATAAAATTCCTGTGATGATTTTCTGCATCCTGTTCGGTCTGATACCTTCATTTTTACTTCAGGCTTCCATAAGAGAGAATTACACCGCTACGACTAATGTCTAATTAAAACATAAACCATGTGAGATGAAAACTCCTGCAAAGGAAGATGCATTTAAGGTTCACTTACTGACATAAGAGCAGCTTCATTATACCTATAAAGTACTTTAAATACAGGAGAAGCAAAGCCATGACACAAATTATGGGGTTTACAATACCAGACATTAAAAATTAAATTTTTTTAAACACAAGTTTATAATCTGGAGTGGTCAAGACTTGTCACCTCCCTCAATGTTGATGCAAGACACAAACCTAGTAGATAGTAAGTAGATTCTGTTCTGTTTCCAAAAGCTCAACAGATAGGTAATAATTCAAAAAGTAAAAAGCAAAATGTCTGTCACAGCTGCAGAGTCATGATGAATCACCCTACACTTAAGCTTACAGACCAGGGTGGTAGAATCCCTCCCTAGTGGAATGTCAGATGCAGAATCAAAGGTGGCCTACACCCAACCATGAGGCAACACAGTGCTATCCACGCTGGTGTCATGGACAGCCAGAAAGAAGGTACTTCCATTCTAACATTTACTCTGCTATGGCCTTACCATTGTTCAGAACATCCAAGTACTGAGTGTTTAAGAAAACAGCCCAGACATAACTATCAGTAGAGGTCAGGCAACTCGAAACACAAACACCTCACTCTAAGAGTTTATATGACCTTTAAGTACAGGGCTTCCCTTTTATTTTCCTTTGTTCAATAGCTGTCTTATTTAATCAGCCATTTAAACAATGTCTGCATAGGGTCAGGAATGTCTGCATAGGGTCAAGAATGTCTGCATAGGTTCACCATGTTTTTTCAGCATCTAAAAAACATGCCTGACAGCATAAGAGCTCCATAAATATTTCTGAAAAGAAAAACTCAAGCTCAATCTCACTCTTCCTACCTACTTTCACCCATACTTGGCCTGCCAGCGCCTAACCTTATGAAAATCCAGGATGTTTTAAGTGAAATACATGAAACCACTACAATTTTCTTACAAATCACTGCTACCCCCATAAAACACTCCACGCAGTGACAAATCCCAAAGGCCCGGGCTACACCTCTCATTCTCAGCAGTAAACTTGTCAATTTACTAGTAACAACCCTCCTATGCGGTGGCTCCAAAAACCCTTTCGGAATCACCTACTTCTCTGCAAAAAAAAAAAAAAAAAAAAAAAAAGTGCTCATCGAAAGGCCCACATGATGTTACAGGGCCCAAATCTAAGACTATCACAGTTTCCTACCTTCACGAAATACCTCTCTGTTCTCTCCCTACCTCCCTCACCACATCTACACAGGCTCCTTTTCCTCTGTATCTCATTATATTCTCCTCCAACCTTATATTCAATTATTCATTCTCAAACCACTATTTTCAAATCAACCGATGTCCTGCTCATGCCTGAGTATTCAAAAATCCTGATTAGTCCCTCTGACCTTCCTAGACCACCTCTAGCCTCCTGGCTCTCCCTTTCCTCGGGTTTGGAATCACTGAAATGAGAAAGAGCTCTTCTCGTTCTCCTCCAGAATGCTCTCACAAAACTTAGTACCTTGTCCATTCTGGTCTACTGGTGAGCTTAATACAGGAAGATACAGGAGGAGTTCTGGCCATCGACAGACAGATACAAGAGTCCAGCAGCTTCATTATGATCCAAATTCAGTTGCTCAGAGTGTATGTCAGTTCTCAGGAATTTCATTAAAGACTTAAAAGCGGCTATTGCCATTTGGGGTTTTGTAACTTCTAGGTTGATAGTCCATCAAATTCAAGCTCCCAGACAATGCACCCACTTTCCTCATTGCCACCTCCAATCTTTTACTTGTATTTCCCCAACCCCAAAACAAATGCTTTGCAAACACTGACATAAAAATGTTTGGGTCTGTTGACAGGATGCGAAAAGAAAAAGGAAAAAAAAAAATCACACAAGTCTAGATTCACTTTGCTATTGACTGCTAAAAATCACTTTCTTTAGCAAATAGAAGACTGAGTAATAATGCCTTTAAAAGTGACAGTTTTATTTTCATTTGCAAATCTTATGAAAAGTGACAACAGGTCAAAATTTAAAATTGAATGCTTATGGTCATAATCTTTTTTTTTTTTTTTTTTAAGGCAAAAATACAGCACAACATAACTCTAGCTACTCCAACTTACAAGACATGTGAGAAAAAAGAACACGGTAAGAAGGCCCATGAAGATACTACCCTCCTTGGAGACAGCATCAACTAACCAATCTCCAAAACTCACAGTTCAGGTTAGATATTAAAACAGCCTTCAATAGCCTCCTTCTATATCCTTGCAACTCCAAGTGTGGTCCCCCAGAGTCCAGCAGTCCCCAACATTTTTGGCACCAGGAACCAGTGCTCCTATGAGAATCTAATGCCTGATGATCTGAGGTGGAGCTGAGACGGTGATGCTAGTGCTGGGGAGCTCCTGCAAAAACAGATGAAGCTTCGCTGGCTAGCCTGCCACTCACTTCCTGCTGTGCGGCACGGTTCCTAACAGGCCACAGACTTGTACTAGTCTGCGGTCCCAGGGTTGGAAACCCCTTCCATAAACCATCAGAACCTTAAAACCACTTGGCATCTTGTTAGAAATGCAGGCTCTTGGACATCACTCCAGATCCACTTACTGAGAATCTGCATTTCAAGATGATTCCCCAGGTGATTCTCATGCA